GAACAAAATGTAAACATTGATTATCTGCTGCTGTGAAATGCAACAGGTGCATCTGTGATTGGTCTTATGTGGTTGTTTCTAATTAATGGCCAATCACAGTCAGCTGGCTCAGACTGTCTGAGACAGAAGCCTTGTTATCATTTTTTAGGATTCCTTTCTATTCTTAGCTTAGCTAGCCTTCTGATGAAACCTTTTCTATTCTTTTAGTATAGTTTTAATGCAATATATATCATAAAATAATAAATCAGCCTTCTGAAACATGGAGTCAGATCCTCATCTCTTCCCTCATCCTTGGATCCCTGTGAACACCACACCATCACACATACTCACTTTGCAGCATCCTCACCAGGAACAGAAAATAACCTCCCTGTTTTCACACTCTTGCAGAGCCCCCAGGAAAACAAAGAAGCTGCTGAGTGCTGACCAGAGGTTTTCATCTGAGTTATCATCTCTCCAGAGCTCCTGCTGCTGGCCCAGACTGCTGAAACCCAGGGAGCTCCATCCCACTGGGAAACTATTGGCAAGGTCTGAGACTGGGAGTAAAAAAACCAACCAAACCAAAGTAAAAAAACAACCAAAACCAAAATAAAACCAAAATAAAAACCAAGTAACAGGTTTTTATACAAAACCCCAGCAATATGATGTGGGGTAGGCAGTGTGGAGTGGATGAGTTTCCTCTCTGGGGTGTTTATCCCAAATCTGTGGCTGTAAATCCCTCCAGGCTGGGTGGGTGCCAGAGCTCTGGGGAGCCCTGAGGGCACAGCCCAGGCCAGGGTGGGGTGCAGGCAGTGCCGGGGTGGGACACAGGCAGTGCCAGGGTGCTCAGAGCAGGCTGAGGGAGCTGGGATTTCAATCACAGAAGGGTGAGCTGGCTCCTGTCTCCCACGTGTGTCCCCAGAGCTCTGAACCCTCCCACGGCACCAGCAGCAGTAGGAGCTGCTCCCACGCAGGAATGTGGGATCCATCCTCCCTCCATGGGGGCTCAGTGCCCTGTGCCCTCCCAGTGAACCCCTCAGAGCTGCTGGTGGTTAATGCCACACAGAATTGAAAGATGCTACCTCAGAACCAACCATTCAACCTTCTCCTACCTAACCTGGGATGGGATCAGCCCCGCCTTGTGCCTCACCAAATCCTGAAGAGCCAGGCTTCACCCCTGGATAATTCTGAGAGCAGAGGAACTGCCCATGGCTTGGGGAACACACACTGGAATGGCTCCAGAGCCCCCAGATAGCAGGCAGGGATGCACGGCTGGTGGTTAATTCCACACAGAATTAAAAGCTGCTGCTGGTGGTTGATTCCACACAGAATTACAAGCTGCTACCTCAGAACCAACCATCCAACCTCCTCCAACCTAACCTGGCATGAGATCAGCCCTGCCTTGTGCCTCACCACAGGGAATTCTACATCCTGAAGAGCCAGGATTCACCCCTGGACCATCCTGACAGCACAGGAACTGCCCATGGCTTGGGGAACACACACTGGAATGGCTCCAGAGCCCTCAGGGGTGCATGGCCCAGGGGAATGCCATGGAAGAGCCACGAATGCCCATCCTGCCCAGCCTGGGCATGGCACACACGTGGCTCTGCTGCTTTGGTATCCATGGTGCTTTGGCATGGCTCACGTCTTTGTCTTCTGCCCAAAATAGATGAGCTCTTAAATATTACTCAGCACTTGGAGTTCTGCCACAGCACAGTTGAGAAAACACCAAAAATGTGTCTCCCAGTGCAGAGAAATATTGAGAGAAACTTCACTGGCTTCGTGCAGGGTAGGCCAGAACCCCCTGCACAGGGCAGGGTGAGGTTAACAAGGGCTGGAACTGGGAAAGGACAGAACCTGCTCATCTCAGTGGGAATAGGAGAAAACAGGACAGAACCTGCTCAATAGGAATAGGACAAAGAGCACAGAACCTGCTCATGTAAATAAGAATAGGAGAAAACAGGACAGAACCCATTCATTTAAATAAGAATAGGATAAAATGGCATAGAACCCACTCATCTCAATGGGAATAGGACAAAAGAGCACAGAACCCACTCATGTAAATAGGAATAGGAGAAAAGAGCTCAGAACCTGCTCACCTAAAGAGGAATAGGAGAAAACAGGGCAGAACCTGCTCAATAGGAATAGGACAAAGAGCACAGAACATGCTTATCTAAATAGGAATATGAGAAAACAGCACAGAACCCACTCTTCTAAATGGGAACAGTACAAAAGAGCACAGAACCTGCTCAGATAAACAAGAATAGGACAAAAGAACACAGAACCTGTTCATTTCAATGGGAATCAGGGAAAAGATCACAGACCCTACTCATCTAAATAGGAATAGGAGAAAACAAGACAGAACCTGCTCACCTAAATAGGAATAGGACAAAAGAGCACAAATCCCACTCATCTAGAGTCCTGGCTGAAGCTCTCTTACAGGTGAGTGGCTTCAAGCTGAACTCAGAAAATCTGTCACAGATTTCCCCAACTCAAATCTGTCAAATATTTCCCCAAATCCAAGCATTTCAGGCACAATCCCAATGCCAGAACCCCACGTGCCCCCTGTCACAGCACAGACAGACAATCAGCTCATGTCACAGACACAGACAAAGCCACACGTGAGCACAAGCAGGTCCTGCAGCAGGTGTGAGGTGTTTGTCACTCTCACCACCCAGCAGTGGGGGAATTTGCCATTAAGAAACTGGAAAGGAACATCACAGCACTGTTCAAAACCCAGGTGGATTTACAGGCAGCTGAAAGGTAAATTCTAAGGCCAGTCCATTCTGATGCCTGTAAACAGCCCAATATTCATTTATTGAGAGAACAAAGCCTTTTTTCTGTTTGGAACCCCCCCTGTCTGAGGGCTGTGGTGGATGACCAGGCTGCATTCCCAGTGCCCACTGTCCCCCTTGCCAGGGACAGGAAATGTGCTCTGGAAACGGTGTGGAAACCCCAGGTTCACCTACAGGAGAGCAGAGCCTTTGCAGCTGGAGGAGGAGAGGAGGTTTTGTTCTCACCTGGGAGGAACTGGGAGCAGCCTTTTTGTCCAGCAAGCTGCTGGGATGTGCCTCAGGGGTGTGAGGTGAGGATAGCTGACCTGCCTGAGACTGAGGGCTGGGTTTGCAGCCCTGCTTAGGGATCTCCAGGGCTTGCTGGAGCCCATCAGGACACCCCAGTCCATGGACCATCACTCCTGGGGTACCTTCGCTACCTGACCCTAAAAACACTCCTGATGTGGCAGGACATGACCATCAAACCCCCATGGGATGGGGACACCTTGTGTGAAATGCCACCCCTGGCTCCTCCCTGGAACCAGTGCAGCTCCCAGCCCACCTGAGGTTCCTCTGCTTCCCTTCCCTTGGTGCAGAGCTGGACTGGGACTGCAGGGATAGGGTTATAAATCTGGGATTGCAGGGATGGGAGGACAAATCTGGGATTGTAGGGATGGGAGAACAAATCTGGGATTGCAGAGGGTTGGATAATAAACCGGGCATTGAAGGGATGGGAGAATAAATCTGGGATTGTAGGGATGGGATAACAGATCTGGGATTCCCGGGATGGGCTTACAAATCTGGGATTGCAGGGATTGGAAACCTGGAATTTCAGGGTATTGGATTGAAGGGATGGGATAGCAAATCTGGGATCATAGGGATTGGGTTACAAATCTGGGATTGCAGGGATGAGATTACAAATTTGGGATTGTAGGATATTGGATTACATATCTGAAATTTCAGGGTGTTGCATTACAAAACTGGAATTTCAGGGTATTTGATTACAGGACTGGGATTTCAGGGTATTGGATCACATATATGGAATCTCAGGGTATTGGATTACAGGATATGGGATTACAGGACTGAGATTTCAGGGTTTTGGATCACAAATCTGGGATTACAGGGTATTGGATTACAGGGTATTGGATTACAGGGTATTGGATTACAAATCTGGGATTGCAGGATATTGGATTACAAGTCCCACGGGTGCTGCCTCAGCCTCAGTAAACTTTATTTAAGCACACACAGACATACACAGACAATATACATATATTTGTTTCTTCTCTGACAGTTCTACAGGACCGACACTACTTTGGATGACACTCGTGGAGAACTGGAAAAAGTGCAGGAAATGTAGGAAAAAAATAAATTAAAAAAATTAAAATATCAAGGTCTTTTAATCATTTCTGAATCACGGTCATCCACAGAAACAACACAGGAGCGTTCAACCAGGCGAGCACGAGGACACAGTACATTGGTGAGAGAGGAATCTCCACATACATCGTGTCTGCAGGGAGTACAGCAGTCTTGGGGACACAGAAGGGGACAGGAATGGCACATGCACCCCCGGGGTCACAGCCAGGCCACCGGTGGCACTGGGGACAGGAGGACACTCCGAGCACGTCTCACTGTACACCAGAACAACTCACCAAAAGCATCATCAGTGAACATTGCCTGGGGTCGTGGTGGCACCAGGACACGGCTCTGGTGGCACCAGGACCCCCTGGGTGTTCGGTTATTTGTGTTAAAGCTGTCTCTCCACAGATATTTATATACAGTACATGTACACAGAACATACACACAGCAGCACATGTCGGTTTTTGTGGTTTCCTGGTTTGTACATTATATCACAGATTATAGGAACACAGAAAATATAGGAGCTAAAAAGAAATAATTTTATAAAATATTCCTCATAACCCCCCCGCCCCACCATTTAAATAAACAAATAACTAAAAGAAAAGCCCAGAAGTGAAAGAAAGGAGCTGCAGCCCCACAGTCTGGAAGTGGTCCCTGCCTGCCCTGGGCCAGATGGACATTGCTGCCCTCCCTGTGGGAGCAGCCAGGAACACCCAGAGCTGCAGGAGGCACTGCCCAGCCGGGGGAGCCTGTACCGCCCTGCCAGGACCCGCAGGTCCTGCCCAGCCCAGCCCGAGCCTGCCCCGCTCCGGCTGCGGGCACCCGGCTCCGAGTTCGGATTGCAAACAATCGTTTCATTGCATTGGATTTAGCAAAAAATGGTTTCCACTGTACCCTTCGTGTGTCCTCTTCCTAACGTGACAAAGCCGGAGGAGATGAAATTATGAAGATCTGGCCCTCCACTGCGATAAATATCCTTCCCATAGTGACCTGCAGGGAAAAGGAAACACACACGCCTTCAGCCACTCGGTCTCCGTCCACATACATATATATATATATTTTTTTTTTTAATATACATTTTCTATATACTATATATATATATATATATACACACACATACTTATAAATCTATATATATCTACTTATATAATTATATCTATCATATATATATAATTTCTGTGTCTATATTTATATATAATATGATATGATATGATATGATATGATATGATATAATATTATAATATAATATAATATAATATAATATAATATAATGTAACGTAACGTAATATAACATAACATAAATTATAAAAATGTATAATATATATTATACAGTATATAAATATATATTTATATTTATAAATTTCCATATATAATTATAGATGTAAATTTATTTATATATATATTTCTATATATATTTATGGATATAATATACACTAATATAATTATATAAGTAGAATAATTATAATATTAATAACATATTATTATTAATATAATAAATAAATATATTTTACATATATATTTCTATTGAATGTATTTATGTATTTCTACTAAAATTTACACTTATATTTATATTATTTCTATTTTTAAGTTTTATTTTTTTTTATTTATATGTGCGCTTTACAGCCCCTCCGTCACCCTCACACATATTGCACAATTAAAAGCACCCTTAGAATGGCCCAGAAAACAACACCTGCAGCAACATCAAAGCCTGAATTCTTTGCTGGCAAAGATTTATGAAGAAGAACAACTGCACATGTTGGAAATTGTGAGCAGAACCTGAGAGGGGAAGCCCCAAAGTGCCAAATCCAAGAGCCCAATCCTCAGGAAATTGGCTCATCCCAGGCTCAGATCCACCTTTGCCCTCCAAAGGTCTCAAAGGGAGTCAGAGGAGATTCTCAGCCCCTGAGAGCACCCTGGTGGCAGAGGTTCTGTCCCCATGTGCCAATGTCCCCTCTGTGTCACAGATCTGTCCCCAGGTGCCAATGTCCCCCTGTGCCAAGGGTTCTGTCCCCATGTGCCAATGTCCCCTCTGTGTCACAGATCTGTCCCCAGGCGCCAATGTCCCTCCCCCCTGTACCAAGGGTTCTGTCCCCAGGTGCCAATGTCCCCCCTGTGTCACGGATTTTTCCCCAGGTGTCAATGTCCCCCTGTCCAGGCTGGTCCCATGTCCCCCTCACAGCAGCACAGCAAAATTGGGTTTTGGGACAGCTCCTCAAGTTCCTCCTCAAAAGACTCCTCAGAGCTTTCCCAGTCCCTGACAACACTGCAGGTTCAAGAGACACCCAGCTCTTTAATATTTTAATACATTAATAAAGGAAAAAAAGCAAAGCACACCCTGCCTGCCTGTTACCATGCAAAGCTCTGAAATGAGGACACAGATGATTTTTCAGATACTCTTTATCATCTCCTCCCTTTTTCATGTTGTTAATTTTTCTGCTCCTATTATTTCAGCAAGAGGCAGAGATAAGAAAGGTGCAGGGGGAGGGAAGGGGGGCGGCCTGGGGGCTGCAGGGATGCAGCTGAATCCCAGGGAAATTCCATTTTCCCTGATTTCCTGCCCGAGCTGAGGTGGCAGAAGGTGCTGGGCAGGACCAGGAGGGCACCCAGCTGTGTCCTGCCTGACCCATGCTATTCCACAGCCCTTGTCTGCTTTGCAAAAGCAAAAAAAAACCCCCAAATCTGTGTGTTCCCACCCCATTCCAGGCCCTCTGGCAACACCTTGGGAATGAGAGAGGCTTTGGAACTTCCCCTGTTTCCCTTGCAGGCACTCACTGTACCCAGAGCCACACAAATATTGCTGCTACCTCCAGCTGAAATCAGCTGTCTCTCGCAATTCCCTTCGGAGAACCTGCTTAAGAACAGATCAAGGAGGGGAAGTTTATAAAAAAGCAAACATTTACTGGCAGATTGAGGATTCCTCATCAGCCATTTGCTCTCTGAACCTTGCTCTGCCCCTGCTTATGGAACATTGTAGTTCAATTAAAACATCCCTGTGATAACGAGCCATTAGCATTTGAACAGGAGTTACATTTTCCCAGGAGAAACTCAGATTTGCAGACTTCAAGCAGCACGATTTTCCCTTTCCATGGATATATTACAGCATGCTACGTTTGCTTTTTGGTTTGTTTTTTATTTTTTTAATTCCTGCTCACTTGTGATCATTTCTTTCAGCCTTGCAAAATTCTGGGAGAATTCTGGGAGTGATTTTTCCTTTCACAGGAGCCTGGGGGCTGCTTGGGGGCCAAATCCAGGTGTTGTTATTCCATTTACTTGCCACAATCCCATCCTGAGCAGGGTGTTTCACCTGGAAGTGAAGGGACCCTTGGAGCAATCCCAAATGCAGGTGCCCAGTGGGAGCACAGACAGGGAAATTCCCCATTTCCTTCTCCAAGAAAAGGAGATTTTCCTCCTTTCTGCCTGCAGATGTGCTCTCCCCGAGCTGCTGGAGCTGCCTGTGCCATGGGCTGGGATAAATCTCCTGGAACTCATCCCAGATGTTTCCCCAGACCAGGCTGAACCTCAGTGTTGCCCTGGTGAGAGAGCTAAAGAATGCCAAATTCCTTGAAAAAACTGCGTACATAGAGTGATCTTCATTTTATTTCAGATTTCAGGGATTTTTCATTGAATCACAGAATGTTTTGGGCTGGAAGGGACCTCAAAGCTCTTCCAGTGCCACCCCTGCCATGGCAGGGACACCTCCCACTGTCCCAGGAAGATCAACACATCTCCAAATCCCCAGCAGAGGCTGAAACAGGGTGGAATTTCACTCCTGTTGCAAACAGGGAGAGAAATTACCAAAGAAAGGCCTCCTAAAATCAGGCCTGCTCTGTTAAATGAATATCCAGCCTGTCACTTCTCCTAAAGGCAGTTTGGAAGTTCTCCTATGAAAACATCTCGAGAGATAAAGTTCATTGACACAAAAATCTATTCCTAGGGTGAAAAACTAGTGCACCTGGATAAGCAATAAGATCAGTCCCGTGAGAATTAGTAGAAAAAAATGTGTAAACTAACAAAAAACATAGAAGTTTGATCGATATGCAAAATACCATGGACTGACCAATGAACTGAGTGGGAATTGTCAGCCAAGAAGATCTGACATCATAATAATAATAATAATAAGAATAATAATAGTAATAATAACAATAATAACAATAATAATGATGATGATGATGATGATGATCATCGTCCTATAAAATATGATCTACACAATAAAGATTTGGCTTTTCCTGCATGAAGAAAAATGGAGTCCTGGCTCATTTATTACAAAATACTTTCTTCCCCCCCTCTCCTCTGATTACAAGAGAGCAGAGTGCTCTGCCTGCCACACAAAAAAAAAAGGCAAATTCTTCAGGGCACGGAGCTCAGAGGGAACATTTCATTACAAAGGCATCCTACAGAAGTCACATATGGAACAACCTCGGCCACAAACTGCAATTACAAGCCCAGCTCTGCTTTAACAGAATTATTAGAGCTGAACTAAAATGCTGTTATCCACCTCTTGGAAATGTTATTACTGAGCCCAGATTACATCACCCTGAGAAGGGCAGACAGGGACTGGCGTGGACAGACTTCTGCAAGATGCACAGAGATGTGACCTCAGCCTGGCCACAAACTGCCCTGGGGAAAGGAGCCCTGCACCAAGGAGGAGCCCTCACATCCTCAGCACAGACACTGCCAGACAGATCTCTGCAGGAAAAGGGGAAAAATATTCATTTTTGGAGGATCCACAGCCTCCCTGCTTCTGGTGCTGCTCATTTCTGCTGAAGGGATTCTTTGGGGCTGTTCCCCACATGATAGAGCTGGAGTGATCTCCTTTTGGGGTTGTTTTACACACAACAGAGCTGGAGTGATCCTTCTGGGGTTGTTTTACACAAAACAGAGGTGGAGTTATCGTTTTAGAGCTGGGAGCGATTTTTTTGGGGCTGTTCCCCACAAAACAGAGCTGCAGTGAACCTTTTGGGGCTGTTTTACACAGAGAAGAGCCCGAATCCAAGCCCAGGAGCTGCCACAAGGGCTGGGAGGTGTTTGCAGAGTGCTCTGCACCATCCCCTGTCCTGCCACTCACACTGGGGCATCTTGGGATGCAAAGGGGAGCTCAGCTCCACACCCAAACCTGCTTTGTGTGATTGGTCAAAAAGCTTTTAAAGTGAGTTATAACATTGAGTTCTGTGTCTCCTGCCTGGGATGTGAGCTGATGGCATCTTCCCATTGTCATAACCATGTAATGAGACTGGTGCTGGAAAATCAAACAGCTCAAGGCGTGTTTCCATAGAGTCTTGTCCTGTTCGTGATTTGTACAGAGACCCAGCTAGGGGGGCCTGCACAGGTGTGACCGCATTCACAGAGGTGCTTAGACTGGGGAAGAGACGAGGATCTGACTCCATGTTACAGAAGGCTGATTTATTATTTTATTGTATATATTACATTAAAACTATACTAAAAGAATAGAAGAAAAGGTTTCATTAGAAGGCTAGCTAAGAATAGAATAGGAAAGAAGGAATGATAACAAAAGATTGTGGCTCCGACTCTCTGTCCGAGCCAGCTGACTGTGATTGGCCATTAATTAGAAACAACCACATGAGACCAATCACAGATGCACCTGTTGCATTCCACAGCAGCAGATAATCATTGTTTACATTTTGTTCCTGAGGCCTCCCAGCTTCTCAGGAGGACAAATCCCAAGGAAAGGATTTTTCATACAAGATGTCTGTGACACACAGGGTGCCCAGAGAAGCTGTGGCTGCTCCACCCTTAGAATGTTGAACACCCCAGTAACTTTTGTTGGGGTCAGATTGGCAGGAATAGAACAGGAAGCCATGCCCAGAGCACACTGGAGGAATCTGCTGGCCCAGCCTCTCCTTTAATGAGATTCAATGAGCCCTCTCTGCTGTCATCTGATTGCAGGCATTCCACACTGTTGCCTTCTATCGCAAAAGTTTCACATCTCCTTGGTGTTTCTGGTGGGCAGCTCTCAAAGCACTGACTCTTTA